GTTCAGAAATTTCCCAAGCAGATTCCCACTCTATGCTCTCAACCACCCCACCTTTCTCACCTACCCATTAATTAAAGAGAAGGGGACTTCTGTTCAACCACTCATTTTTTTTTATCCCTTCTATTCTGCTGCTTTATTCATGTCCTCTAACCACCCAGATTCTTCTATTTCAGTCCAAGAAAATTCAGTCCTAATTTACTGGAAACTTGTCTGGAACAGAGAGACATGAACACTGCTGAAATGAATCAAAATATAAGTCAAATAAATATCAGTGGAAAATCTTGGGGAACTGATTTTAGGATTAAGCAACTGCAACTCTCTCATACGGTAATTAGAACAATTGGCTGAGAATTCCATAATATAAGTGACAAATACTAATAATTTTAATGGGAGTTGTGTTGGTCATCACATTAATGAAAAAAGCTTTTCTTATATAAATAATTTTATTCTTAACTTTACAGCCAAGTGATAGTAGACAAACCAGAGTCAGCTTCTAGCTGAAACAAGCAACTCCATTCTGTTCAGCATTCACAGAGCCATGTACTGTCATGTGAAAGATGGCCATTAGAACTTTCAATCCACCTCCCACAATCTGACATAACAATAGCGGCTATGTCACACAAGAGCTGTGCCTTTTTTACATACGGACTGAAACTAGTCTCTACAGTAAGGCCTAAGCTACACTAGAAAAGGTTTGCCAGTATAACTACTGGTACACTGGCAAACCCTCCTAGTGTAGATGCAGTTTACACCAGCAAAGGAGGTGCTTTTGCCAAAATAGCTTATCTTGGTTTTCTCAAACAAAATAAACTATCCCAGCAAAAGCACTTTTTTGCTGGTATAACACTAGGGCTTCGCCAGTATAAAAAGGTTTTTAAAAATTACACTCCAACATTATCATAGTGACAAAAGTTTTAAGTGTAGACCTGGACTAAGAGAAATTCCTTGCACTGAGATATTAAAATAAAGATAGACAAGAAACAAAAACATGAAATAAAACTTTAGGTAAGAAGGTGCAGAGATATTATTCTTCGTGGCCAGTGTCCAGTAAGGCTTAACCAAGAATTCTAAACATGCCCTGAATATATAGGAGAAAATAATCACTGTATAAACCAAGTTGCTTAAACATACATACATACTGGATACACTCTTCCAGTCGTATTATATCTAACCATGAATCTCCTGAAAAGAAGTCTCACGTTACTGATTCTAAGTCTGCTTTCTTTCTGATCCACCAAAATCATCATAAATATTTTGTGCTTCTGTGAATTGCGCAGAACAGCCAGGGGCCAAACTACAGATCTCTTAAAGAATCTTATTATATGCCAGATCTTTCTTGGTTCAAATTACACCACCCACAAACATCCTTCCCCAAATTGTGTCTCTCTGTATACACCACTAGCAAGCACTGTTACATACTTTTGTGTTTGAGAAGCACTGATATTAACCAATAATCTACTGTTTCCTCATGCCCAGCCAATGTAGTTTGGCAACTGGTAGGAAGACCCTGTTGCATGCTGCATGTCTTGGAAAACGTCTGCTTTCTTTCACAAAACTCATATCTGTGGCCATATATTGAATGTGCTTGGATTATATCTTTTGTTTGCCATCTGAAAACAAATATATGCTAATTGCTGCCCCCATCAACAAAGCAAATTTACAACTTGTCTGCAGCTTCTCATAACTCTTAAACCTAGTAGAATGCAATCAACCAGCACACGAGCAAATGTTGGGAGACTTTTGCAGTCTTAAATGAATAGGAGCATTTTTATACCGTTTCTATTCCCTGATCAGACTGAAATATTGACTCACTGTAGCTATTAGTTTTTCCCCTAGCCATTGTAATTTCTTGTCATAGTGCAGCAAACTAGAGCTCAGAATTCAATTTGAACAGTGAAGATGTCATCACTGAAACACTTTTTTCTGAAAAGGTGCCTGCTGCTAAATATTAATAAAACCTTTAAGTTACAGGTAGTGGGGGGTTGAAATAAAAACTAATATGTAAGAAAAAGACAAAAAAGGCAAAGGAAAAGGGGAGATAACTAGTCGGTTGCCAAGGACTTTTGTGCTCTATGCAGGGTATAAATGGTCACACCATTACACAAGTTGGTATGAGTAATGCATATCTGGAAGAGGAGAAATAGGGCAGGGTAGGAAAGGGCTTAAAGAGGAAGAAAGAAGGCGTAGCAGAAGAAGAGAGGTGAGCAGACAGGAAAAAGTAAGCATCGTAAGTAGCACTGATCATACTCAGGGATAGAATAGCTACTAACAAGTGTATCAATAACAGTTCACCTCTCTCACTCTCTTCTAATATGTACAGTCCTGGAGCTTTAAAATCCCTGCTGTCCTGCAGGGTGAGTGCCACTGAATAACAGGGGGGTTTGTTGTTGTTTTTTGTTTTTACAAAAAGACATTCCCTTCCCACAACACAGGTGGAGTTTTCATACCCGTAACAGAAAAGGAATTTCATTTGATGCTCTACACTTGGGCCTGGTCTACACTGCGGGGGAGGGGGTCGATCTAAGATACGCAACTTCAGCTACGAGAATAGCGTAGCTGAAATCGACGTACCTTAGACTGACTTAGAATCACTTACTTCGCGTACTCGCAGCGTGGGATCAACGGCCGCTGCCGCTCCACCGTCGACTCCACTTCCCCGATCACTCTTCTGTCAACTCTGGAACTCCACCAGGGTGAGAGGTGGATCGATTTATCGCATCTACACTAGACACGATAAATCTATCCCTGATAGATCGATCACTGCCCGCCAATCCGGCGGGTAGTGTAGACGTGGCTTGGAGTGGAACTGTCAAAAGCACTGAGAGTCAGCCTAACCCTCAGAAAACTCCCATCGCCTTCATCAGAAAGATAGTTAAAGCAACGTGGAGAGAGCTTTTGAAAATCAAAATCCCATTCTATGTCTTTCTACTTCTGTTTCAGCCTGACAAGTGTCCAGAGTATAGTTACGATGTTTCCCATAATGACAACCAACCCAGACAACAGAGAAGCCACTACTGCCCTTTTTAACCTTAGTAACTTTGAAGGTAGAAAAACAGGTCAGATAGAATGTTGCCTGAACAAGTGTCTTTCACCAACTCACCTGAAAGCCCCAGAAAATTCTTTATAGAACATGCTAGCCAGGTCCCCACTGTCTCATATAAATGAAACACTAACATAACTGAGTATGACTTCAGAATAGGCTAGCTGTTGACTATACTTCCTTCCTGTACTGAAAGCAATGAAATTCCTAGGATGAGCAGACATGCTGTGAAAGACCAACACGTGTCATTCTCATAATTTCTAATGATAAAGTGTTTACAGGTGTGCGGTTAGCTTCTAGAACCAATAAACCAAGCCAAGATATAGACACACATTTGGCCATAAAGCATATATTTATGTCAAGATGCAGACTTTGTTGCCTACTTAATTATTCCCTTTGCATTTCCCTCAGCTTCTGCCCCCCCCCCCTCCAAAAAAAAATACACCACTTCCCCATTGTAGACTTTTAGGCACTATTTTTAGAACTGATTAGTGACTTTGGATACCAAACATGAGAGACCTTAAAGGGCCATGATTTTCAGAAGTTGGGAGTTCTGCACTTTCTGAAAACTCAGACCCCTCTACAGTGTCTCAGGTGTGCACCCCAAAATGGAGACAAACAAAATCACTAGTAACTTGAAAATTTTTGGCCCTAAAGTCTTTCCTGAATGATCTATCACACCAAGACAAATCAGAGATTGTGTTTTTGGTCAATCATTATCATTTGCCTTGCTTGGCAAGACAATAATACTCCGCATCACAGAGTATCTTGCATCTCAAAGGCTCAGCAAATGTGATTTTATATATGATAATCCTCATTACCCCTTGCAGGTGGTGAATATTATATGCCCATTTTTCAGATGAATAAACTAAGGTACAGAGAAGTTAAATCACTTGCTCAAGGTCACATAACTAGTTAGTGGCAGAACAAAGAATAGAACTATTACCCCCTTTAACTATTAGGCAAAACCTTGCTTAAAATCTGCTTTACCAAGGACATCACCAACTCTGATCCTGAGCCATCCCTGTAACTAATGCATTTGTCTCTATACTTTATAAAAATGATTAAATCCGAGTCTATGAATATCATTGCCCCTTCCCTTCACCACTATCTTTGATTTTTACACACAGGTCATAGTATTCTGAGTCAGTACGACGAACTAGCATTACATGGGTATTTTTTTAAAATGAACAAGATATTTCATTTTGAAAAGGTACTAATTTCCACAGTATTTTTAAATTAAATATAATAGCAAGATGCATTAGTCAATACAAAATTAACATATATTTGAAAAATGCAAATATTATTAATTCGTTGCTAATAAATAAAAATAGTTAAAATAAAAAGAAAGGCATGTACCCAGGAGAGCTTTAACTCCAAATCATTTGATGTTTGTTTATTTTTAAAATGTAATTTCAGTCTCCCCATTAAGCACCTAATACATCCCCCCAAAAAATTACAATAACAAATTTATTATTTTAATTGCTTGACAAATTTCCATTTTTGAATCAAAGTAATGTTTTAAGTTGTCTGCACAATAGCATTTGAAACTTTATATTTTAGAAAGATATGAAGAGAGAAATTCACTCTTAAGATGAAACTAGGACTGTCAAAGGTCAGCTGTTTGTAATTTTAAACTTCTTAATTGTTAATTATAACATAAGTTTCAGCCTCCAGTGAGTTCTTACAAGGTATCAACACTTGTAAAGGTGAAAAAAATGCTCTGAAGTATTGTCATGATCTCAAATACACCAGTAGAAATGCTCCACTATAATCAGCAATGAGAAATGAAAATAAAAGATGCTAGAGGCTTTGATTACTGTAATGAGAGCCTTTGATCACTGTAAGAGTTCAAATTATATCAGTGTCTCACTGCAGAAAACACGGATGTTAAACACTAATACATGAGTGTTACTATCTAGGTAGGAGCTACTGTTCCTATCAACAGGAAGTCACCCACCTGGGGTAGCATGCGATTTTCCTCCTCCAGCTGTCTTACTCTTGCCTCCAGCTGCCTAACATAGGACAAGGTTGAGTCTAAAATTAAAAAGAAAAAACTCGCATTATACACACAAGTCTGCTTTTGTGCACTAGCATCAGAGCCTATATAAGACAGGAGATTTCTGATTTGGTGTAATCACAGCAGATATCTCCTCTTAAGTGTACCTTACAACACCCAGTTCTGTTTCTCTCTAAGATAACACCAGTTATTGCTGATACTATAAGTATCAAGTTTAAAACGTTAAGACTTGGCAGAATCAGCCTAATTCCTTGTTGATTTTGAGTCTAAACTACTGTAAATGACAAGGCAGTTGCTTCTCTACAACACAATAAAAGTCCCAAAGAAAGGCAATGAAGAACAATTTCTGCTAATCCCTACCCTAAACTTCCTGAATTTTCTGTGCTATGTAACTACATACAATTTTAGAAACACAAGAATAATACAGTGAACTATGGGGTCACTTTTGTACAGCCATGGAGATAAAAGAGTTTGTGCTATAGCAAGAGCCAATCACAGAGGTAAATCCTGCTCGCCCCATCCTGCTCACACAAATATTTTCATTGGCCTCAGGTGAAGAAGGAGAGCAGGATTTCCCTCAGATATGAGATTCAAAAAATAAGCATACATCAATTCCATGGGCTCACTTCCACCCTTGAGAGAGTCATATATGGTCAATTATCCTCCCACTGAAGCAAACAGTTTTCCTAATGACTTAAATGGGAGCAGAATTTGGTCCATAAGGAGAACCAAAGCCAAAAATCAGAATTTTCCAATACAGATGACCATGCATATCTTGGCCCACATGGAAGCTCTGCAGGTAGAAAACTGCCTCTAAAGAAAATGTGCATGGAATGGGGAGTAGTTTAATTGTAATACAGAAGACTACTTCTCCATACAAGACCATAACTGTGACTCTACCAGCCCCTATTAATTCAACAGAAGTCAGCCCTTCTCTGGGGCCTGATTCATTAATTCTCTACACCATTTTTATGCTGGTGTACTCTAGTGACTTTAGCTGGAATTACACCAGCCATCTACTCATGGAATAGAGTGGAGAATTAGCTATTTGGTCTCTAAAAGGTGTATCTGTGGACATGCTGGGTCAGGTGTTCAACTGGCATAATCCCCATGGCTCCACTGACTTCACTGGAGTTCCTCAGCTGAAATTAGCTGGCACTCTAGATCTCTAATATATCCAAGTCACTTCACATGCCAGCCAGTCCATGAAATAAAAATGATAGGAGACTGGGAATGCAATGTAGTTGTAGCTATGTTGGTCCAAGCATATTAGAGAGACGATGTGGGTGAGGCAATATATTTCCAACAAAAGCTATTACCTCACCCACCTCGTCTTTCTAGTAGACTAGGTTTCACTTAACACTCTTATGGGGAGATAGTAGACTAAGGGCCATTTTAATTCTGAATTAGAGTGTCCACATAGGGGTTTAATATAGTTTAACTAATCCACTTTAAATTCATACCTTTATTTAATTCTGATTAACTTTCCTGAGTGTCTCCATGAATACAAGCCCTAAAACAGCAGTTCTCAAACTGTTGGTAGGGACCGAAAAGTGGGTTGTGACCCCATTTTAACGGTGTCGCCAGGGCTGGCTTAGACTTGCTGGGGCCCCGGGCTAAAGGCTGAGCCCCACCGCCTAGGCCGAAGCTCGAGGGCTTCAGCCCTAGGCGGTGGGGCTCAGGTTACAGGCCCCCTGCATGGAGCAGTGGGGCTTGGGCTTTGGCTCTCCTACCCAGGGCAGCAGGGCTCAGGGTTCAGTCCCTCCTCCTGGGGTTGTGTACTAATTTTTGTTGTCAGAAAGGGGTCGCGGTGCAATGAAGTTTGAGAAACCCTGCCTTAAAATATGCAAACATATGTAGTGCACATGAAGTTATAGAACATGAAGGCAATATATAGTCATTTGTCAGAAATGATTAGTACACAGTGAAGTAGTGGATTATACATAGAAACAGAGGGAGAAAGGTAATCTGAGGTTTTATATGCTGTGATCTGCAAGTCTTGCATTAACTAGTCCTGGATGAGTCTCTTTGGATTCCCAAAGTTTGGTATAGATAAGCACTGAAGTTGCAAAGCTTATCCAAAACTAACCACATTCTTTAAGAGGACCTCCCATCTCATGACCCTCCTTCCTTATCTGTAACCCACCCCTGGTGGTAACAGCACTCCACAACAGTCTCCCACACTACCTTCCCCACCCTAAGGGCAGTTATTTTGGGAAACAGTTCACAGTCCATCCTTCCCTTCCAACAACATTCTTCTAGGGGAAAGACTATGTACTCCTCCCCCTCCTACAGTACCATCTTCTCAATGGGGTTGATTTGCAGATTTCCACCACCAAGAGGAGGCTTCTGGACTCAAAGCTGCTCCTTTTGAACTTCATGCTTTTGCCAACCCATGCCATTATCTTTTGAATTCACTTTTACACTTGATGCTTTTGCTTCTGCCATTTGCTCCTCTACCACCGTCTAGCGTCACATACTTACATGTTATATTTGTAAAAGATTTTCACCTCTCTTATATATTCCTTTGTATTATACTTTACAGCTTAAGGACCAGAGCCATAGTTGGTGTAAATCTACATAGCTCTAGTGAAGTCAACGCTGATTTTACACTATCTGAGCATCTGGTATAAAATCTCCTAGTATTTCAACCCTTTCATAGTATGAAAGATTTATTTTAATCTCCCTACCAATCCCATTAATACTAACACTTAGATCAGATACCAAGGGCCTGATCTAGCAAATGCTAATTGAAATGAGTAGTCCTGGTGTCCTTCATTATTACAAATATATATATATATATATATAGGAGTATAAATTAATATACTCAAGTTATGTTGTAAAATGGATACCATAAATTACACGGGGTGAAATTTTATCTCCATTGAAGTCAGTGGCAAAATTCCCAATGATTTCCATGGAGCAGGATTTCATCCAACCTATATTCACTGCAGCACAGCCAAAGGCATTACGAGAACTGTAGCAGTAACACCTACCAGATCCATATTTGTGTTGTTTCCCAGTCTAGCATCTTGCAAGATGTTCCAATATATCTGTCAAGAGGTAAGCCACGGCCCTTTATGGTCCTTCCAGGGCACTCCACCCTCGTATTCTTTCAATTACCAGACTTTAATTGGCTCAAGAACATGTACCCCCTTCCTGGGGTCTGATTTATTAAGTTTTCTACAATGGATGATTTACTTCGTTGCTCCAGATCTCCCTGCTGGGGTCCCAATAAAAGACCTGGTCAGCTCTTTGTCCCAGTTCAGGAGCCCCCACCCTCCTTCCTGGAGCTGGTGCTGTGCTTCAGTCACTGCCTCTCCTTATGGCAGGAGCTCCCCCAGCTCTCCTCCTTGGGGTCGGGTTATAATTTTTCCAGCTGTAGGGCCTTAACTAACTTCTCCCTCTGCTGGCCCCTTTATCCTCAATTAATCCTTAGGCTAGGAGGATCCAGCAGGCAGCCTTCTCCTGCTGATGCCTTCTTGCTCTTTAGGGCCCTACAGGAGTCCTTTTACCCCCTACAGTGTCTGCAGGCATCTGACCTGCTATGAGAGAGGCAACAGAATTTATGCTGGACCTCTTTTCCCAGCTCATTCCCAGTTGTTTGGAGGGGAGAGAGGAGCCTTTCCTGCCCTTTCTGAAAGACTCCTGGCCTCAGATTCTTAAAGATATAATGACAGGATTTCCTCCCAAGCATCATTTATTCCCAGGACTACTTTCTCTCTGTCCCCATTAGGTTCATATAATGAACCCTTAAAGACTTAAAAGGGCATGTCACATGGCAAAGTGGCCCACGGCCTTTAAGGGGCAAACTACCCCACCACAATATCAGACAATAATTGTTTTGAAAGACAAATTGATAATCATTGGACAAATAAGATGATTTTCACCTGATGTAATTAGTAAAGCCATTTGTATTTTATGCTTCTCTAAGTAGATTCATTTATTATCCATGTAGTTCTTAGGATTTCAAATGCATTGCAAAAGACCTCCATTTACTACAAAACAAATCTTAATCTTTGGTTGCACAGCTGCTTACATATTGTGACAGGGCAAGGCCAGATGGCTATAGAAAAGTAGTGGGAGATAGATATATTAGCTCCAGGCTAAACTAATCCCTGGTACCAGGTTAAGTGAAATGGAAGCTGCTCCAGGTCAATTAAGACACCTGGGGCCAATTAAGAACTTTCCAGAAGGCAAGGAGAACACTAGGTTGACTGGAACACCTGAAGCCAATCAGGGGCTGGCTGAAACTAGTTAAAAGCCTCCCAGCCAGTCAGGTGGGTGTGCATGTTAGGAGCTGTGGGAGGAAGTTCTGCTATTGGAGAGGCTGAGTAGTATGCACCATATCACAAAGAAGGAGGCCCCAAGGTAAGGGTAAAGTGGAGCTTGAGGAAGTGAGGGCTGCTGTGGGGGAAGTAGACTAGGGAATTGTACAGGTCATGTTTCTAAAAGGTCAGCTACCATAGCTGATACTATTAGGATCCCTGGGCTGGAACCCGGAGTAGAGGGTGGGCCTGGGCTCCCCACACACACATTTGCCCCCTGATTAATCACTGAGACTGGGAGACAACAGCAACTGTGCAAGGAAGGATAACTTCTCCTCACCTCCCTTGCTGGCTTATGATGAAAATGGCTCAGTAGACTGTGACCCTTGTCTCTAGAGAGAAGGGTTACATTGAGGGTCAGAGTGAGCCCCTGAGGCTAGTGAAATCTGCCAGGAAATGCGGGACCCACTGAGGCAAGGACAGAGCTTTGTCACAATATAGAATTTTAACTCCCAAACACATCTCATCTGAGCTCCCTCAGTCTTAAACAACTAATGAATGATGGAAAAATATTTGTATTAATACCAGTAAAAGCTCTATTGTCACATTCTGAATATCAGCATAAACCTGTCAGTGATGTTATGGCCAAATGAGGACTTGGATAAGACCAAACAACTTGTTTTTGCTCAAGAACTGAACAGGATTTGGACCCAGAGACAGGATACTGGACTAGATGGACCACTTCTTTC